AGGCTATAATTAATTGGAATTCCTGGGATATACGTAATGATATAATGGGATAACCAAAAAACCTGAAAAAACAACAGTCCCCAACAAGCCCCTCTTGAGGCAGCCCTCAGCACCTCGGCTCAACTGCTACTTCTAGTGATTCTAATGTCATGTTCACGGCGAATGCTTGGCACTTTGGCGCACTTATTGAAGTAGAAGGCCAAATGATTCTCTTTGAAGGTTGGTCTTTCTGGATCGTCCTGACGAACAAAACCATGGAAGCCAGCCATCGAAGCTGCGGACAGATTTGTCCCATCCAGCTGCAACAAGTCGGTCATCGACTCTTCCCCAGTCTTGCATTTGGGGCAAAACCTGGCAACTTAAAATCCAAGTATCTGGCTTTATACACCTTACGAATCATCAAAACTGCAAACTTTGAAGACCGAGATCTGAAAGCCATCCGGTCCAAATCATGACGGAAGGCATGACATAGCAAATGCAGCCTTGCATTGGAGCCAAGTCGTGTGCGGTTCTGTGTATCGGTTCAATACACTGCACCAGAAATCCCGGGATTTCAGGTTGGCTCAACAAAAGAAGATCGTCTCGAACTTATCCGAATGATGCTAAATGCTTGAGGGCAGGTTCTCAAACATTGGAAGTCTCAGGAATGGGTTTTGCTTTATATTTGATTCCCATGACCAGTTCGACAGAAGGGAAGGTCCCCAGTATCAACCCATAGTGCCCCTGCATGAAGGGGACACTGGAACTACCACGAACAGAAACCACAAGGGTAAATTGTTGGTTGGACAGTCGCCCAGACTGTCAGAATCAGCTAAATCAGTGGAGGGATAATCAACAACTATCATCCGCACATTTTTGAGACTACAATCTTGGGAACCTCAAAAAAAAACTCATGGGTGAACCGGGCGGCAACTGTTCCAAACTGGAACTGGGTCTGCCCGCTCAAAGCGCAAACTCAGTAGGGTCCAATCCTGAGCCCGGGGTCGGCGAGAATGGAATGTTGACTGCTGCTGAGAAAACTCTAAATGAAACACCGGATGATATAGGTAGATACTGAATATCTGAATGGTCTAGGCCACATATGATCAACATTGATCAACTTTTGTCTTAATGCAAGCAAGGCTAAATCGTATCAAATCGTCAATCCGCCCAAAACCATGTGACAATTAACGAACAAACCATTCTTGCCGTGGTGGGACGGGAATTCAACGAGTCCTCGAACGCGAAGTTGAAAAACAAGGGTTCGCCGCTGCCGATGTCCATCACATCCTGGTAAGTGGTTCACCCGTACTCTAACCTGACTGGCTGGAAAGTGCCCTAGCTCTTTGGATATCACACATACGTATTATTGTGTATATATATATGTAGATAGTTCACAATTTCGTAGTATTCATAGATCCTATAAAACACTGTAAAACTATGCACAAAATTATGACCGCCCCGTCTCCCATGTGTTGACCGATATTGCTGTGAATAAACACCAAAGTAGCCTCAATGGATCCCAACAGCAGGCTGTGTGTCCAGAGCTTTCTTCTGCATTCTTCAATATGTATGTATAATTTAGTTGTACATATGTATTGATATACATATACATACATCATTACTAATATCATTGATTATCAATTATTATCGCCATATGTATATATATACATACATAATCAAAACACGCATTCTTAAATCAACTATAAATACCCTCTGGTCAGCTAACATAACCATGGAACATCACCATTTTTAATGGGAACATTCACTAATAGATTGCAATTTTCAATAGATATGTTTGTTTACCAGAGGGTAAATCACCATAAAATCCCATTAAACCAGCATTTTCCTATGGTTTTCCCATGGTTTTCATAGGTTAATCATGGGTTAATTGCAGCGCCTCCACGGCAAAAGGATCCAAAGACTCGGCCTGGCGTTTCGAAGTTTCGGACACACTGTCTAGAGCTTTGTTGCTTGAAAAGGACATTGCTCAAGTGGCTGGTGCCCTATTTATCATACATAAAAATGTGTATGTATATATATATATATGTATGTTACATACATACATATTTATATATCTGTATAAATATATATATATATATCATATGTACTTCCAATAATCCCAATAGAAATGGCTATTTCTATTCATCCCAAGTCCACTTCCTATCCTTGTTCTCTTCCAACAATGTTCTTGCTTGCTCAATATGATACTATTGTGGGAGCAAGTGGTAGTGAACCAACTGGGTCTGTCCCAGAATGGGCTACGCCCCTGGCTTGGGTTCCACACATCAATTTTCATCGGCTCGTCCTCCTGCCGAGCAAATGAAGCTAAAGACGTCCGAAAATAACTCGGAACACATAGGATTTTCTAGTAGGATCTATATAAAAGGGGTGTATTATCAATGTATTATATATCCCAACTTGACACTAGCATTCCATGACTGAGGAATATTCCATGACAATAGGGGTACTGAGGATGCCTTTTCTTGTCACTGCTTTGCTCGCGTGAAACTTTCCATGTTGAATTACTCGGCAGCATTTGCCAGGGCTAAGAGCCTTTGACATCTGTCAATCCAATCCGAACTACCCGTCAGAACAGTGGAAGTGAACTGGCACCCCAGCATTCCCTGCAGTGTTCCCCACGGCCTCTGCTGCTTCAGGTTTTTCACCATTTTTTTCTTCGGTCTCCTCAGGCTTCACTTCCTTCTCCTGGCACTATGCACTACCACTAATTGGCCTGGTTCCAAGACAACAAAAGGAGGACCATGAGGAGATCAAAGATGGTTACGCATGTTATATATATATATAACCGTGAACCATATTAACCTAACAAGATAAGGATGATGTGGACAAAGTTTTAAAGGGGAACTTGCCGTGATTGTGGTGGTGACGGTTGATGACGTTGATGACGACGACAGCAACGACAATGATCTTCGTGGCGAAGAAGGCCTCCTTCATCTCTTCATCCTTGCCATTCTCCTGCAGTTGCATCTCTGATGTTCTGAATACATACTTATATAATATAGGTCATCTAAGGTCATCTTGGATTTGTCTTCAGCCTATCATGCCTAACTACTCTAAATGTTGAAATAGCCCGCTCAACTGATGGTGGATGGTCAGCTGATGAAAACATCCCGTCGAGCTGTCCTCCTTCTTGTCCTCCTTGTCCTCCTTAACTTCATCGCCCTTTTTGGCTTTCTCCTACATCAGTCGGCACATGGCAGAAGATTTTGCTGAGAAGCCAGAATTGACTGGTGGATGTGCTCTCAAGCATTGGTTACTGGGGTCATATCTAGGACCAATTTTTTTTACAACCTATAATATCTAGAGTATCTGTATCACTGGGATGTTATTTATGGTCAACTGCTATTGCGGTCTAGGACGTACGACGTCGGAATGGGCTGCAGGCCCATTTTCCCGTCGGGAACACAATCTGCAGTCGAAGATTAAAAGAAAATCAGGCGAGTCCCACCAGAATGATAAATGGCTTTGAAATATGGATGACAACTCATACAGTAATCAGTTGGTTCCGTGGTTCGAAACATGATTGCTGCAAAACAAGATGGTTTACCCCTGAAACTAACAAATACCTGGACTTGCCCGAACTCCTGGGAGGCTTCAAGTACTGTACCAATATTTACAGTTTGCAACATTCTAATATCTGCTGGGTATCCTTCTCACTTGGGTTGAAAATAGCTTTGCACACATATATATATATATGTATATACACGCATTTATTTAGTTATCATTTTTTTTAAAGAAAAATCATTAGTAATTATTATGGTTGCTATCTATCAGCTATCATGCTTATTATGTTCAGTGACTATGCTGTTTATGCTGTTTATTGATATATATATATATACATGGCACCCCGTTATATTTACATATGCTTGCCTACATACATATACATACATATACATACATATACATACATATACATACATATACATACATATA